CACCCCTTTGGCCAGCAGCTTGCTCTCTGCCTGTGCACTCCCTCACATCTGCTCACAGGGGCCTGGGCGCCCACAGAACACGCACTGAGCTTCAGTTCACCTCTCACTTCTGTATGGGAAATCTGCAAGAAACTATTCATTACAGCTACCCACACACACCACACCCTGCTTCTTTACAGACACCTATCCATTAACAAAAATAACAATAAAAAAGCCCCCTAGGGAAATGTACTTCTGAGAACCTGTTTTGCTAACATGCTGTCACTGTGAGACATACATAATTAACAAAAGCTGTGCCATGGTAGGTTTTTTTTTTTCACTATGATACGTTCTGTCAGAGGCACCATCTTATTTATGAAAGCAGGTGTTTAGCAAAACACTAATTGCGAAGCTGAGGATTGCAGGCTAATGCCCTTTTCCTGGGCAGCTGTCAGTATGTACCCTGGCAATCTCTTTTACAACCCTCTCATACTGCTTCTGGAACAGTATCACTAGCAGAGCGATGAAGTTTTAACACAGCTGCTGCACGTCTCGTGTACTTTTTTTTTTTTTTTTTAAAGACACAACACAGTCTCTTAAAGAGTTTCCAGCTACTAAGCTACATCAATCATCAAGAGGAAAAAAAAAGTGAAGCAAAGTATTTTTCAAATACAAACTCCAAATGTAAGTAGAATTCAGGTCGCCTCTGTGATTTTTACTTTGAATTAGCATACCCTGCTTCTGCTTTCGTGTTTTTAAGGGCTATAACTGTAGATTATCCTTCAACTCTTTTTAGGGTTTTTTGGGGTTTTTTTGTTGTTTGGGGTGGGTTTTTTCTAATGTTTCACAATATGAGAATTAAAGGTTATTGTACCAAAATAAGCCAGCTGCATTACATAAAGTTGCCAGTGTTCTCATGTAGAGGAACTGGAAAGTCCCAAAGCCATTGCTTACAAAAGAAAGTTCAATTATGTTCCTAATTGAAAGCACAGACTCAAAAAATGACTGCAGGTTTAGTTATGCAGGAAACAGTCATGGAGGTTTGAACTTTAAATTGCAATTAGCTGAACTTTCTGTCTGACTGGAAAGATTCTCCAAGGAAAATCCCCTCTTTTCCTCAGCCTTCACTTGACATTACAGCCTGCAGACTCATTCATAGCATGAGCTGCTCTGCCGCCCCTGGGCGGGGGCAGCTCCGGCAAGGGAGGGAAATCACAGCCAGCTGCTACTGATATTACTGCCCAGGCACTGCGGGGAGGAAATGATAAATACACAGCACCGACACAACCCTCTCTGCCACTGCTATTAGCAGCACCTATCATGGCCACTGATAATTACAGCGTCTGATAGCTTTGAAATTATTATTGCCTCTCTGGGAGGGAGAGATGACTGTCTGTTAAGAGATGATGGACTCCTGGAAAATGACCAGCAGCTACACCAAACTGGCTTCCCGCCCACAGTCGTGGATAACACGCAGAGAATGGTCCAAACCACCAGGTTTATCACACAGAAACCCTGACAGGTAAAGGCAAAGAACAAACTAGGCTGTGGATGTGTTCTACTTGCTAGCAAGTTGTAAGTTTCCATCTCTCTATTTTCAGAATTCAGCTTAATGCTGACAAATTGAATCAGCACACTGCCAGATGCCAGCTGATTCTAAAATATGATGTGTTTTGAACACCATTAATTGTTCCAGTGCAATGTTGCATTGTTTTCAAAGTAGGCAAGATTACTGTGATGGGTCATGTTTGTTTCACAATTATCCTCTCTATGAAGTTATAGTTCACAGATAATTACATACATTTAGCCTTGGTCCTGAAAGACCAATTTTAGAGACGAGTTTTGCAGAACTCCTTCCCTTGCTCTCTTACATAGTATTCTCTTGAAAATAAAGACCAAACAGTGATATATGAAGGGAAGAATGATCATCTTACATATTGACTGTATTTTCAAACACTTACCCCTTAGTTCTGGAACAAAAACATGATGCAAGAAGACCAGAAAGCAGATGGAGTAACCTTTTTACAGCTTTGGAACACCAAAAAACTTTTAAATTCTTTGACTGATTTATCTGCTCCTTATAAAGGAACTCTACATTGCTTTTTCTCTGCTCTTCTACAAGGTGTTTTACTATCAGTCAACTACATTAAGAACTAGTATTATCAAATATTATCACATTTTTTCAACAAGTATTTTAGGCGTAATGAGCTCATGATTCTCTTTGGTGTGTATCTGTCTATCACAGCATGTCATGATGTCTCTGGCTCCTGGCACATTCTTGATACAGTCAAACCTCATGCATGTTTAGGTGATAGATGAATAACTGCAATATTCACACTATCTTCAATTCAGACCTATAAAAGTAATGGGAACTCTTCTGGAAAGAAAGATACACCACATATGAATGAACATTTTGTTTAACTTTGGCTAGAGCTATCAGTGGTTTTAAAAGCATTTACTTTAAAAAGTTCTTCCTCAATTGTCCGATGCTATCTGTCCTCATTAAGCCTTTCTCCGACTTCCTATTTTCAAGGTAATGGCTCTTCATTGTGGTGAACACCAGTACCTAAAGAATCTTCAAACATTTCTCCAAATTCTCGAAAACAATCCCCCACCATGCTTTGTTGGCTTTGCGTGTGCGAGTGTTTCCAGGACAGCTCCATAACCCTTCCACTAAACAATGATGGAACGTTCAAGTGAACTCTTAATAAAGTCTCGTTACTTTATAGCTTTGGGAAACTGCCAAGATAGACACTGCAAGGACCGAGTGAAAATAAACTAGCACAAAGAGCTTCTTCAAACTGCTTTATTTACAAATTTACATGATAGATATGTAAACCAAGGGGCAGGCAGGTCTCTTCCTCTGTGACTGACCAGCAGCTGCAGGAGCCCTGTCTCACAGCATTACCTTGGAATGGGGCTCTGGCAACCTCTCCAGTGCTAACAGGTAAGCTCCTTCCTCCCACAGGCAGACTCATTGTCCCTCTTTCCATTTCATGCTTACCACTACTACTTCTCTTCTCTTGCGCCCCACCCCTTCCAGTTTGGGGGTCAAAATTCTAGGATTTGTATTAATCAAGGAAAACTTTAAGAAAAATATTTCTACAAATACATAATGTTTGCAGGAGAAAATCTCCTGCAAAACATCATTAACCAAGATGTCAGCATCTATATTCTCTGGGATCCAGACTCCTTAAACAAGTCATGTCAACACTATGAGTAAGAAACATATCAGTGACAGTATAGTCACAACAGCACAGAAATCAGGATGAGTAAGTTTTCCAGCTTTCTCTGTATCTCATTTTTCCTTCTGAATTCACATTAACAGTAATTCCAGGTCCTTTTTAATTCTGTACAATTCTGTACTATAAGAATCAAAATTCCAGTTCAGGAGTTTCCCAGCATCAATAGCCATTAGTCTGTGATACACAGCAAAATCACTGGCTAAAAATAGAAAACACCACCATCAACTGCTGTTTTGAAATAATTACTGACTAAAAAGTCATGCTGGAATGTACTGTATACCAACTTAAATATACTGTAGCTATATTCTAGTACCTTACTAAGCCAGTAAAGAAACTTCCCTGGAGGGCATATGTGGAGTTTGACACACTTTTTGTAACTACACTGATGGCTCAATAATGGGGCTTTCTGTCTCACTGTAAAAACACATTACTCCCAGAGTCAGTGCAGACCCTGCTCTCTAGGACACTTCAGGCAGCTCATAGAAGTAAAAATCAGTCAAGCAGTTATTTACACAGTGCACAGACGTGGACCAAGCCAAGGATTTAAACTTATCTTAGACATACTTTACTTGCCTAGAGTAGCCCTGTCCTTGCTCTTAAGACTTTGCCTATAAACCTGATCTTAGCAAGAGCATTTTGATACAATGGACACACAATTTTAGGAAGAAAAGCTATGAGGCTGCTTCAGCTATCACAGAAGCACTGGGAACTTGCTCCCTCTGACACACCCATTCACAGCCTGGCAGCGCTGCAACCATTAACAGAAGTATCCCCTGCTGCTCAAGCAAATGAGACACATATTTACTGTACATACACAGACACGCACACGGCCCTGGGTGACGATGGTCATGAAAAATGCATTTTGTTAGACTCCTGAAACTGATGAGTACAAAAACAATACAGAAGCACAACTGTTATCCCCAACCACAAAATGCCTCGAGGCAGTTACAGTCACAGTGAGAGTCTGCTAAAAGTATGGTCATTCCCCTAAAACATGGTTGAGCCTACACCATGTAAAATTTCAAAAGCTTTTTGTCACTTTGGACATAATTTTTTTATTTTTTTCTCTGTATTAACCTTAGATACTTAAATACAAATATTTGAAGCAGATAACCAAGCTGCAGGAAGGTAAGTGATAAACAGCTGAACTTTGTCCCTTCTAACCCCCTTTGTTCCAAAAGCTCATCAGTCAGCCCCACAGAGACCTTAGAAAGTCAGAAGCAAGCATGCTTGGCATAAAAGCTCTCCAAATTTCAGCAGAGCTCCCTGCAGTTTTTCTCCTGTTCAGCAAGGCTGTGCCCAAATGCAGCTTGTTTCAGCTGTTGGTTCAGCTCATGTAAACTCCAGAATGCAGCTGTAAGCTGGATGGGGGGTGGGGGCTCACCCCCTTCCTTCCGCCCCCTTTTCGCTGCCGTCCGAAGGGGAGCTGGGAGAAAAAACTGCGTGTGGAACAGCAGTCACATTGTCAAACTGAGCTTTACCAGAGCCATTCCGAATTCCCTGATGGAGTTCTGTTCCTAGTTTAAACTTCGTTCTTTAATGTTCTACAATTCAGTTTTTACATATTTGGAATTGCCCTTTACAAGCAATACGCAGCTTTCCGTGCTTGTACAGACCAGCACAACTGAGATTACACTTCTAAAACATCTCTGATAACACTTGAAATAAGTAAAGTTTATAGATGCAAGAAAGCTGTTAGCTATCTAGCAGAAGCACACTTGCTGTCTGAAGCATTAACTTAACAATCATAAGAGTTTTCATTCATAAAAATCTTACCTGTTTCTGCTAGACAGAGCTTCAGCAAAAATAATCCAAAAATTGTCCGTAAGGAGAAGTTGGCCATTGTTTTCTTAGAACTGTTTTGCAAAATCCAAAGATCCTTGCAAGCTGCAGAAGGAAGGAAAGCACCAACGCTTGTTAAGCCTGCAGTCAATGAGTCTGAAGTTTGCTGCACTTTTTATTCTGATTCAAAGGAACTGAAGTAATGACATAACTGGGAGGGGGAAGCTCCATCAAAAGTCACACCCATATTGCAACAAAAGTTACCCAGCAGCAGAAGAAGGGGGAGTGGAAGGAGAGCTAGGACTGACTAAGCAGGCACACTTGAGTTTTAAAGAGCCACTAAACCTTCTCTTCTTACACTAGGCTAGTCAAAAGTTATACTTAGTGTGCTTGTAGGAAAATTTGTGTCATCTCTCCTGAGTTCTCTCAGAAATGCACTGTTTGTTATAAGCATTTCATCCTGCATTTTAAAATCTCTTCATTATTGCAAACCAAGTGAACATAAAAGCATTCGAGTTTCTAAACCCTGGTAAAGCATCTTATCAGCCTAGATATTTTCCAAAAACATTTTGCTTATTTATTCCTATCTTGCCATTTTCTCTTTGTGCGGTTCTATTAAGAGCAAGTAAAATGCCTGCTCTGCAGTGAAGCTTTCTGCAATGTTTTTGTTCACTGCTGGAGGATAACATCATGCAGGAGGTAAGTTGAGGCTGTTCAGTTTCCCACAGCCCGTTCTACCCTTGGTGTCCCTGCACACGCTGCTCCAAGAAGAGAAATGAATGAACAAAAAGTAGTGAATAATGCCAGTGCCAGAAGTGAGTGATGCTGAGCACTAAGGCTGATATTTATTCTATTGATGGAATAAGGTACAGAAGGAATTTTTTCTCCTATTCCCAATTCAGAAAGCAGAGAAGCAGGATGAAAAGTTACGAGATTTTTGAGGTTCAAACAAGGTCTCAGTTCCTGAGGGACATATGTTCATTGCAGTGTGTGGTTTTGTTTGGCTCTTCATGAAACCTCTGGCGAAAACCCCAAAGCCTCTGTAGATAAGCAAAAGGCTTGTCTCTTGTCTCTTGTGTGCCTTGGAGATTTCCTGTGGTGGCTCCATGCACTGGCTTCTCTTAGAGCTGAAGAATTGGAACAGTGGTTCCTGTGCCCTGGGATGAGGGGTTGGTCAGGGATCACCAAAGCCAGCACTTCTCACCTTTAACAGCCATAAATGCCTGGATTTCAGCTTCCCTTGCCAAATCTGGATTGAATAGTCCTATATCAGATTACCATTTTGTTGATCTCCCCACTTGAAATAAGTTTCTCATTAATTTAATCTCTGTTAACACAAACAGTGGAAAAATACAGACAAGTATCTCCAGCCACAAGCAGAAGAAGGTCACATAAAGAGGTTTTCAGGACTTTGCCTTTGTTTTGCCTTTTGACTTAGAGATGGCTGGCTATCCTTTCCTCAACCAGGCAAATTTTTAGCAACAGGTTCCAACAGGCTTTTCCTACAGGTCTAGAATATCTGATGGGACAAAGTTAAAGTAAAAATTTTTCCTTTAAACACAGGGTATATTTTTATTATGAAGCTAGCAACTTTGAAATTATGGATAAAACACCTTTTCTTTAGTTAATATGCTATTTTTATTTTTTTTAAGAAATGGCTTTAAAACCAATTAGAAAGCAATCTCCTATATACGTTATTGTCTAAAGTGGAAAGATAAATAGTTCTGTAAAATCCTGTGTATTTATATCTGTAAATGTTTTGGCATCAAAATCCATGAATAAAGATTAGTGGGATTTCAAAATGCTGGCACACAGTTAACGAATGCTTTAAATTTACTAAGTATATCTTTTTCTTCAACTGCTAAGTTACTTTTAAAATTCATGTCCTATGGATGAAACAGAATAGTTAAACATTTCATTTAAATTTAGGAAATTTTGAGTCCTATTTTTTATGAACATAAAATGACTCTCCATTAATATCCTGTATTTATAATGATACAGAATTTAAAAAAAAATAAAAGTTTTCTTTGGTACAGGTAAAGGGAGAATAACATCCATTTTAGGGATAGAGGCAGAATCTTAGATAACTAGGAGTGGAAATTCCTGGTCTCTTCATGGTGTGAAGTTTCTAATTCTATAGCCCTTCTGACAACTGAATATGTAAAGGTTGTTTTCTAGATACCAAAATATTAGTTGTTATTCATCTCAGTCTTTTCAATAATTTCTGCATGTGTTCAGCAAGGGTGGGTGGTATTCTGCTTTGGAAAGACTCTCAGGGTTGTTGCCCTGAAAAACTGGGCTAAGATTAGACACATTTAGACCACAGCATGGAGGTGCTAGTACCTCATGCAAAAGGAAAAGATAGATCTACACAAGAAAAATAATTGATAACTTTACATCATTTCATGTGATAAATCACAAAAACAATTAATGAGCTGTTTGTATGGGACATGTGAGTTTGGCCATTCTTTGTGCCATCAGCCTGCCTACATGGCAGCCTAGAACACACATGTGCATTCCACCAAAAAAATGGCACAAAAAATTTCCTGTTTTCCCACACAAACATGGTCAGCTTATGTTGGTCTCAGGTAGCCAGCAGCAGTCCAAATTTAGCCTGGCTGCAGGGCAAAATGCTGCCCAGAAGGTTTAGTCAAAGCAGATGTACAATTCTGGAGAAACTGTTGGGTTTGGAGGTTTGTTTTTCAGGGTTTGTTTTGGTTTTGTTTGGGGGATTTCTTTGTGAGAAATACGTAACTTCTCCTTTAGTTTGGGAAAACCGTATTACATAGGAACAGAAAAATCCTGAAGCAAATCTTCAGCTGAAAAAATGCAGCAGAGCATCCCTTTTGAGCCTGTCAGTACTGCTAAATATCTGAGATCCGGAATTTGCTTACTTCCTTGGCAACAAGAAGCTAAACTACTGACACCAAAATTTTGTAAAATGATTAATGAATTAAGTTTTCAAAAGAAAATGAAACAATAAGACTGAAAAAGGATAAAACCCTAGAATTTAAAAGGGTGTTTTTCTGTGACATCTTTGATACTGCGAATACTGAATCTGTGATGGTATAATATAGCACAGGAACACCAAAATAACTCATTTGTGATTTTATCACATATGTGAACTGTAGCCAGCACTAATTAATTTTGATAAAATTCCTACTAGGAAGTACATATATTGGAGTCCTAGAAAAGTAACATGCATAGCTTACAACTATATAAGAAGTAGGTTTTTTTTGCAGGAATTCACATAGAGGATTAAATTCTGGCCTAGCTTAATTGAAAGAACAAAATTCCACTGAACTCAGTGACACAGCCTCTCCCTAGAATGAATATTTAGATTTTATTTTGTGGACAGACAAGAAAATGGATGTACCTGAATGAACCTGTACTTATGATGGAAAAAAAAGAGTATAAATGGAGATTGATTTCACTATTGAATGGAAGAAATTGAAAGAAGAGTAGAACGGAATTCTGTTTCTGGAAAATAGTGGCATTTGTCTTCTCAAGCCTTAAAATTTCTAAAGAAACAGATCTCCTAATTTTAATTTTTTTCTATTATCAGCAGAAATACTATTTTTTGAAATAAAAAAAATAAGTTTATGAGCATAACTTGGTGAATATTTCAAGCTTGTTATGGGGAGCTGAACAGCAACTGGTCTTAGTGAATATAAAAAAAGCAAAATGTCATTAGGTAGTTCTGCTCATGGCTGTGTATGTTTTGTGTAGACTACGGGTGATCTGTGAGACTGGCTGAAAATCAGATTTGGGGAAGCAGGGAGGATTTCATACCCACTTATCCGTAATATCAATAAAATATGCTATTTTTAATAATATTTCCTCTATGTCTCTAGACTGCAATCTGGTTTCCTGCATTTCAGACTGGATTCAATTTCAGAGTAGATTTAATTTTCATTATCAATCCTGAAAACAGGCTTTGTAATGGCAACGGTTGTAAATGCTCCAGTGTGGCAAATCTTGAACTGCACACTTTTCGTGGGCTCTGAGTGCTGATGGGAAGCCCTAAGAAGAGCCTGCGCTGGTTTAAGCAAGAAAAGCTGCTCTTCTGGCTGGAGGGCAAAGCACTCCCTTGGGAAGTTGAGCGCCCGGTTCTACTCCCATCAAGGTTTTGTTCCTGGATGTAATTTACAGCCTGTGTCCTGCAGAAAGTTAGGAAGATGAACAATGGCTCCTAGTTGTTTACTCCCGAAAAAAAGCAGCAACCCAGATTGGCACCTAGCGTGTGGATTCATCAGCCTGTTCTACTGGTTTGCCCCAGATCCCTAAACAACTCCTGAATCCGAGACAGGCAGAAACCTCCGCAGCCCGCACGGCTCGAGCCGCCTGTGAGGAGCCCTGCCAGCCCGTGCGGCCCCATCATCTTTCTTGTCCGCGGCCCCATCATCTTTCTTGTCCGCAGCACCACCGCAGCCACGTAGTCCCTGGCTGACCTTCGTGTGCAGCAAAGCACACCCCGGTCCCCACGGACAGCTCTAATGCCATGTCCCCCCTCGGCTGCTGCTGGGGATGGAGCTGGAAAGTGCCACCAGCTGTCCCAGCCCGCCGCAGAGACCAGAGCGCTTCGTGACCGCCCGAGTGAGCAGCAGCTGCGCGGCTGGGCGTGGGGCGTGCGGGGAAAGCGAGGGGAGAACACTCGCGTTCTCTGCAGGTGGCTGCTGTCTGCCTCTGCCCCTCCTTCCCCTGGCTGGCACACACCGTGCAAGAAGTGCTGGAACGGATACACGCGAGCAAAATAAACGAAAGTGGGAATGCAGCTCTGTATTCCCACTTTTATTTCTTTTGTTTGCAGTTATACAAGAGGTGAATCGAGCTTATGCAAAGCTACTTTCTGGATGTACTCTTTTGTCCCTGCTGCCTTTCCATTTTCTTCTACTTGATTTTGCTTTGTGATTTCTTCCTTGACTTCTGTCTGTCATGTCCACTAATTTCTCCTTTTTCTTAGCCCCCATTCTTTCTCATCCATTCTCTGTTCCATACAGTACATTGGAATTATTATATCAAACATCTAAAGCTCCAGAAGAGCAGGTGAGCCTTACAAAAGGCAAACATTCAGGAAACTCAGGAAACACTTCATATTTGCATAACCAAACTGTTAACTGTTATATATAGATAAATGCTTAGGGGCGCTTGTGCCTAATACAGGCCTGACCAG